AGAGAGAGAGAGAGAGAGAGAGAGAGAGAGAGAGAGAGAGAGAGAGAGAGAGAGAGAGAGAGAGAGAGTAAAGTGGCTGTTGTTTGAATTGGAAATCCTATGGGATTTTCTTCGTCGAACTGATTAATACGTAAAAAAGAAGCAGAAAAGAAAAACGACCTTCTTTCTTATTAAGGCACGGATCGACTCATGGATTGATGACTGGATGGGTTGATCGAAAAAGGAGCATTCATACATTAATAGGAAATTGATGAGTGGATGCATGATGACAATATATATCGTCACAAAGTTATCAGAGCGCCAAAGCGAAAAAAAAAGACAACAACAAAAGGAAACAAGAAAGTTATCAATTCATTTTTTGTCTTCTTACTTACAACTCCCCCTGTTCAAAACCTCCTCTTTACGTACAAGGCCGCCCACGTAGGTGTAGGTTGAGCGGCGGCTGCCCCCACTCCCGTGTGTCATATCGACCCACTTGCACACAGCCAAAAGGCAAAGAGGCAAAGAAAAGAGGAAGGGAACAGCCAAATATAACAAAACAGGGGGCAGCAAGATCCTGGATGACAAGCCCCACATATAAGCACCGCCCCGAACTTCACAGGCCAAATGACGGGACAAGACCAACCAACCAGGATATCAAAACACTCTTGGCTGCAAAAAACGAAATCCCAAATACATATCTATATACAGCAGATGGCCTTGTTCGTCATCAAGACGTGGCTATTCCCATTCCTAAACCATTCATGCTCTCATAGACCGAACAACAACAACAACAAAAAAAAAAAACCGGATGACTGGTCCTACATGAAAGCACCGCTACGCTCGCCAAAATAAACTGAACATTAAAAAAAAATAGACCGAACAAAAACGGGACAAAACCAACCGGGATGCAGACAAGGATGCCAAAAAACAAATATATAACCTCCTGATGAGTCGGTGGGTGAAACTCCGACGAAACAGTTTGTCACAGCCCCCCTCGTTTGTTGTCCTCTTCTCCCTCTTGTCCCTCTCTGCCTACGGTTTACCGGGCAGCTCTGTTTGACGATATATAATGTTTACATATACATAAATAATAAATAATAAATAATATTCTCCTCCCTTCTCTCTTTCCCCTTCTCCCTCCAATTAATACATCAGCCTGTATCTGTTTGACGATGTATATATATGTATATTCTCCTCCCTTGTTTCTATCCCCTTCTCCTTCCAATTTTATACGTTATCCATGCATCCACTCGTCAATTTCCTGTTAATGTATGAATCCTCCTTTTTCGATCAACCCATCCAGTTATCATTCCATTCATTAATTAGAATGAAGTTTTTTTTTCTTTTTTTTTGTCTTTTTCTAAAATCCAATCAGCGAAGAAGATCCCATAGGAGTTCCAATTCCAACGACAGCCTCTTAACTGAAACTCTCCCTCTCTCTCTCTCTCTCTCTCTCTCTCTCTCTCTCTCTCTCTCTCTCTCTCTCTCTCTCTCTCTCTCTGTGTCTCTGTTATTCGTGGATGCATGGATAATGTATCAGATTGGACGGAGAAGCGGATAGAGACAAGGGAGGAGAACATATATATCATCAAACAGAGCTGCCCGGTATATATTATATATATTTTATATATATAACTAGGCTCTTACGTTATACATATATAACGTAAACGAGTTTTTGGGTGCATTGCCGAATCATACTTTATTCTGGATATTGACCGACTCTCGTGTGACACCTGTCGGGGCAGAGACGCGGTGCGTCTTGGCTGTGGCATTCATCATCAATGCCATCACCATTATCAATCTATTGCGACTACCACTGTCTGTGCTGAAGGGTGTCCAACATTTCCTCATTGTACACATCCCTATCACCCAGATATA